GGTAGGATTTTTGCCTCGTACACGGCCGGTCTACGTTTGATTCTTCCATCCCTCTCGGAGAGCTGGCAAGGTACCACTGCCCACACAGCAGTGCCTGGCAAGCTCCCCCTTATAATTATAATTATAAGTAATTATAATTTTCTTTGCGTATTTGGTGTGCCAAAAACAGTAACAACAAATCTCACAATGTAGATGTTACTGGTGCCCCTCGAGCAAATCGATGAACAATGGGAGGACAGTGCTACAGTGCTATATCTAGTACTGGTACAAATAATAGTAATATTGGTATTTGTTGCACATTTTTATTACTTTTGAATTTTTTTTAACAGTAGAATAAATACTTTTGTTTTATGTGTGCAGTCATTCTATACCAGGCCCACCAACGGAATGACTTAACTTTCTCCATTCCCACAATCCCAAGCCTGGGACTCTACCCAGACCCTTGAATCAGTCACAGTTCTATTGACCTTATCTCAGACATACTCAATTAGAAATTATATAACCACTCACTTTGTTTCATTTATTGCACACAAGTGAGATCATCGAGTATTAATCTTTATCTTTCTGATACATGTCACTTATATGACACCTTCCAATTTATAAACTCTTATGACAGACACTTTTTGTAATTTTTCCCCTTCTCACAATGTTTAAATATTGCTGCATTTAAATGCATAGAAATACTCCCATATTTGGATTTTGATATTTCCACCTTTAGAAAATTTCCATAAAAATTTTGACTTTCATTTGTAAGGTCCTGGATTTGAACATTAGACCACATACACAAATAGAAGGGTGAGGGTGGATGGAGACTTTTATTTGTGATCCCTTGATTGAAGTGTACATAGTAAACTTTGATTAATGATAAAACAAGCAAAGGTATTTTAGAGACCACAAACAAACCCTCTGAAAATTTCAAATAGCTTTTATTTCATGAAGTGAGCAGGGGAGGTGAAGATTCTAAATCTTGTTTTTTAAAGATAAATTTTATTGTGATCAAGATCTTAATTTTTAGTATTTAATTTTTATTTTTGTATTATTATACCTATATAAACTTAGGGCACACCTGGGATCTGGCTCAGCAATATATGTGGTGCTGATAATAAAGTGTGGTCATCCATGTGCAAGACAAGTGTCTTTATCCCTTCTGTATCTCTTTGATTACTCAAGGTTTTATTTTTTGAAGGAGGGAGCAAAAGTTGTACTCAGGGTCCCTTGGTCCTAAGTGATTTAAGGTCAAAGTCCAAGAACGCAGTGCTGCTCTTGCCCTGAAGTGTCACAGAATGCCTGGGCTGCCCCTGCAGTGCTTGAGGACATACACGGTGACATCTGGCAGTACGCAAGGTCCTTTTGATTCCATCCAGCAGTGATAAGGCAACTATGGATGTCTAAAGCTGAACCAGCATCTATAAGACGTGTAAACATGCATCTTACCCTCTTTATTATCTCTCCATATTTTCTATGTCTTGGTCTAACTCTAGTTTTATGGTTTCAGTTCACTTTGAAAAAAAAAAGACTGACATTATCATACATATAGTTTACCAATGCATTTCTTGAAGTTAAAACTGACTCAGATAACAGAAAAATATTATCTAAGATCATGAAGAGCCCTTAGGCAAGTATGTGGTTTGTGAAGGCAAATCCTAATATTGCACCCAGGTGCTGAGAATGGTCCATGTAACTTTGCTTTTGAATCTGAAAACTATATATCTAAACCACAAGGTATTATAATAAAATATAGTTTTAGAAAACTAAAATATTAGGAAAAATAATCCATGATCATCTAAAACAAGAGACTACAATAGAACTGATGATCTCATTCCATTCTGTCAATGGTTCTTATTTTGAGTAGTATCTTATTTTTTTGAAATTCAATTTATTTTTATAAAGTTGTTTCCAATAATTGATTGCATATTTAAACATTAATACCATCAACATTTCACCTTCCCACCATCATTGTTTCAAATTTTCTCAACCACCAAACAATACTGCCCCAATGGTAGACCCTAAATCATTTTTTAATCTTTTTTTTTTATTTTTTAGGTTACTTCACAATATTTGAATACATTCAATATTCAGACACCAATCCAACCACTGTTACATCTTCCCACCACCAAATTTGAGATGTTTTCATCCCAAGCCCCAAGCCCTGTTCCAAAACAAAAAAGAAAGAATATATTTTGTATTTTCTGTTATAAAAACTTCTAAAAATACTTATAAAAATGTGTTCATATAGGTGCATATGCTGCCCGAGCCCATGTGCTGCTTGTGCCCACGTGGCTAAGCACATGTGGTGCCTGAGCACATGTGTCACCCATATCTCCCCTCTTGAGATGTGTATTTCATGCTTTCCGATCTAACACTGGAATATGTGTAGGGGCTCTCTCCACCCTTAGAGAAGCCCACATTCTCCCTAGAGTGCATTATTTTGTCTCTCTTACTCTCCGTTCTCTCCCACTTTCTTTTCCTCCTTCCCTTCAAAAATCCTCCAAATAAAATCTGTTTTATTTCAAAAAATATATATATGGTCATACAGAAAACAGTGTGAAGATTGTTCTATTTTGGCAGGAGCCATTAAGACATTCTATAAGATATCACTAACATGTTATTATGGTTTGAGTGATATGAGCTTTGTTATATATATATCTGAAAATATGTATATATGCATATATATATATATATTTCCCTCAATGATTTGTTGCCTACTGTCTGAAACTCATCAAAGATGATGTGGTAAATATGTAAAATGGGTAGGGAATGTCTTCTGTTGTGTCCCAAGGACACCAGAGCAGCCGTGCGGTTCAGAAATATGTTTGCTCATGCATGAGGTTCAACCAAGCATGTGGAAAGTGGCCTAGAGTGTGGTGGTGGTTGGGTTGTTAAGGTCAGCTTCCAGGACTGGGTCCCTTAGGGTAGGGAGAGGTCTCACCCACACCCCTCTGGGGCGCCCCAAGTGAAAACAGCCTGGTGCTGAGTCTGGTGGCATGATTATGATGACCTCACTTTATGCTCCCTTTTGGGAGAAGCAGCCTCGAGTTCTGACCCTAAAAAATTTATCTTGTATTGCTCGTTAGGAATAATCTGTCCAAAGTGATCAAAATGTTTCCTTAAAAGAAAGAGTATGAAGTTTGTTGTATCTTACTCTGGAGTTATAAAGCCCCTGTGTAAGAAATTACTAATATGCTGAGCCTTGCCTGCTATATATATATATAGATATATATATTTGTATATGTATATATATATATATATATATATATATATATATAATGTTTGTTTGAGATCAGTTGCCTTCTACTTTACACACCATCAAATGTGCTGTGGTATTCCTGGTATACCGGTGAAGCATAGTATTGTGAGTCTCTGGATCATGGCTGTTAATGAGCTTATATGGTGCCATATGTAATTTGTGGGCATGACTGCCAGGCTTCTGGAAGAACAGGCAGATGGGGAAAGCTCACCTATAACAACCCATGAGAGCTTGGGATTGTCAGTCATAAAATCCACATATCTGAGTTATTCAACAGATTCACCCATGAATAAGATCCTCCCAAGACTGTGGAGATTGACCAAAGGCATAGCGGTGATTGGGTTCTGGAGGTTTTCAGCTGCTGGGCTCTGTTTGGGGTGCTGTTCGGCTTCCCTACTCCCTTTCCAAGATGCCCCAGATGAAACTCAGCATTGTATGGGTTCTGGAGGCATCTCTTGAATAGTATCTTTTAATACTAGGAATGAGTGGATGTTTCCAAGGTAAGTACACTTGATCCTTGGGAAATGTGAAATTATCATATCTTCAAATTGCTATATGCTAGTAGCTTAATAGGTTTTGGTTTCTCCTAGAATCATAGAACATTTTAATATGTCTTCTTATAAGTAGTTTTTGCAGACACCAAAGATTAAATAATAGATCGTTTAATATTTTATCCTTAGACTATTATCTCCAATAATTACTTTACATGCTGATAATCAGAGTGACACTGAACCTTGCTTTACAAAGATTATGAGACCAAAATTATATATTATATAATGAAGCTAGGACAGAATCCATTCTTTCAGTAGAAGATAGAAACAAGTAAAATATTTTGCTAACTTGAAACATGAGAGCATTCATATGATGGAGCAATATTCTTAAGAGAACTTAGAGGATTCTGTCAAGGGGAAATTTTGATTGATTCAAAAATTGAGTAAACTTTTGACTTTATATCTGTGAAAGGTTTTGTGTTCTCCTCTATGTGCCCCCAATTCTTCAAAATTTCACAATACTGAGAAGTCAATTTAAGGATATAACAGATAGCTTTAAAGTGGTCTTCAATAAATGACAATCAGAATAGGTGTATCAACAACTTTTTTTATAATTCAAAAGGATTTTTCTATGGAATTACTTGGTAAACCAATCTTCAGAGCTTGGATGTTTAAAATACAAATTTCTATATAGACATCTCTGTAAGCTCAGTAATTATTTGAGATGAGACTAAATGAATTTTACTATAGAACTGGTATTAGAAAATAAATTTTTGATTCAAATGCATGAGTATTTGTACCAGGATTAAGTATTCCTTTTTTTTTCTTTTTGGGTCACACCCGGCAATGCACAGGGGTTACTCCTGGCTCTGCGCTCAGGAATTACCCCTGACGGTACTCAGGGGCCCATATGGGATGCTGGGAATCGAACCCTGGTTGGCCACGTGCAAGCAAGCGCCCTACCCGCTGTGCTATTGCTCCAGCCCCGGATTAAGTATTCTTTATTCAAAAATTATGTCAAACTCTAGGCGCGTAAGAATGAGAATGGAAAAATTTACTATCTCTGTTACAGAAATGCAGTGTAACTATGTATTTTATATTTTTGTTTTCAGTGTAGAAGAGAAACTTTCAGAACAGCTGAAACAAGACACATGAAGAATAATTTTTAAGTATAAATTATCATCCAATGCTTATTTCTTGCATTAATTTTTGAAAAAAAACTGCGTAGGAAGAAGTAACATTAAATAGTCATTACTTATACCATGGAAGTGCTATTGGTCAATTATGTCTTCTCTAGGAGCTTTGTTGTGTCCAGTGGAGTATCCAAAGCAATGTTCATTTGCTTTCTGTTTCCAATTTTCTTGACTGCGGAATACATAGCACCTCCTATCCTCTCAAATTCAACTGTTTTCCCAGCATGGAATGTCCCAAGTGAGAATTGTATACGACGCTATAAAATTTATGTGGATGTGAGCATCTATTCATTAACAGGAAACCCTGAAATTCGTGCCACAAGTCAAAAGATCACCTTTTTTAATATTGACAAATTCGGCCGCTATCCTCACGTAGAAGCAGATTCGAAACGCGAAAAATTTGGGGCAATTCCTCAATTGGGAAATATAAATACGCATTTGGAAAAGGCTCAGAAAGACATTGTCCATTACTTACCGAGAGATGCGTTAGGCCTGGCTATAATTTCATGGGAAACCTGGAATCCTCTCTGGATAAGGAATATATTAAACAATTATGTTTACAGGGTCAAATCAATTCAATTGGTTAAACAAAAAAATCCACAACTTGGAGATACAGAAGCTGAGGCTGTTGCCAAAGAAGAATTTGAACAGGCAGCAAGGGAATTCATGGTAAGAACTTTGCAATTAGGACGGAGACTTCGACCAAATAATTTTTGGGGATTTTTCCATTTTCCTGATTGCTACAATCATAATTATCATAACAATAAAAACTACACTGGAAGTTGCCCTGAAATAGATAAGCAAAGAAATAATGATCTCATCTGGTTGTGGAACGAAAGCACTGCACTTTATCCAGACCTTTACTTGACTACAGATTTAAAAGAAAATCCAAAGGCTGCACTGTTTTCCCGTAATCGTGTTAATGAAGCCATAAGGATTTCTAAAGTATCCAATAGTAGCAATCCACTTCCAGTTTTTGTATATGTGCGTCCTGTTTTTATTGATAAAATCACAGAATATCTTTCTGAGGTAAGTAAATCAAGAAAGATAACTACAAAAACTTTTCACAATGCTATTTAGTGGATTTTGACTGCATTTTTCAGGGAGCAAAATTGATCTTTATTTTTTAAGTTATTCGTTCTCTTTTTTTTATTTGGTCACATCCCCAGAGCCTACTCTGTGTACTATCTTTCCAGACTTAAAACTTATGTTATTGTTATTGTTCTTTGTGCCATATCTGCCAGTGCTCAGAGATTATTCTGGCTCCACACTGAAGTTTCAGTCTAGGCAATTTTGGGGAATATATGGGAATCAAGGACTGAACCTGGGTAGGACTGCTGCAAGGCAAGAGCCTTACACAATATACAATGTTTTGGATCATATATGTCACCTTTGATAGCTTTGGGGAACAAGCTTACATAATTTTGTATCTGTACACATGTACAAAATAACACTCTGTTTTTTTTTTTAATTTACTCACGTCTGAGATCTGTCTGAGATCTGGAGGGCTGGAACGATAGCACAGGGCTGGAGTGACAGCACAGCTATAGGGTGTTTGCCTTGCAAGTCGCCTGCCTGGCAGAGCAGGGTTCGATTCCTCCGCCCCTCTTGGAGAGCCCAGCAAGCTACCAAGAGTATTTCACCCTCACTGCAAAGTCTGGCAAGCTCCTCGTGACGTATTCAATATGCCAAACACAGTGACAACAAGTCTCACAATGGGCCCACTGTTACTGGGCCCACTGGAGCAAATTGATGAACAATGGGAGGACAGTGCAGTGCTATGTCTGAGATCTGGGGTATAAAGTTATATAGAAGATGTAATAACAGTTTATTTTACTATTAAGTGCTGCCTTCTTGACACTAGAAGCAGTTAACTGTGTCGAAGGATAATAAGTGATGGGAAGGTAGTTACATTACTGTTTGCTCAGCATGCTTAGTTATGGTGTTACTTTCCTACGAACGACATTCTCATATGACTTCTGTCAACTCTTTCTATCTCATTTGCCAGATTGACCTTGTGAATACAATAGGTGAAACTTATGCTCTTGGAGCCTCTGGAATTGTAATATGGGGAAGCTTCAAGATATCCCACTCTATGGTAAGTTGAATTGACAGTAAACAGATGAGAACTTTTTCTTATATAATGCATTGAGATTGTGATATTGAATAATGAAATAAGTGTTATGCTTTGGCACATAGTATATATGTTTAATGAATCAAGCATCCTTTTTTGTGAATTTATTTAACAAGAGACAAATATTCTATTTGTTTAAATCAGCAAAAAATCAGTGATTAGATAAATTAATGACACTAAATAGAAATAGAAAAATGAAATTGAAATTTTCTAGTTTTGAAGAAGCAGAAGTAAAATTACCCTCTCAATTAATTGACAGCATATAGGATTATTTTTCTGCGACATTGTATATTACTCTTTAAAGAACTATTATTATTTATTATGCATTTGCTTATTTTTTATTCAGTAATATTATTTGGAAACCAGTTATTTTATTACTGAATAACAATAACATATTTTAGAGATAAAGAAACATTGACCCTGGGTCAAATCTGGCTGACCTTTTTTCTTTGTACAGATTTTATTTAAATCTAATCATGTCTTAGGTCTTTTTAATATTAAAAGATCAAAAATATATTTCATAAAATATTTTACAATGTACATTAAAATTTCTATGTCTGTTATTCTAGTTTTAAAGTTTTTTGGGAGGAAAACATAGCCACGCTTGTTTGTTTAGATCTCTACGTTTATATGCATTTATATTTCATTGCTAAGTAGTTTGGTGCCAAGAACTATATAATTATAAACCTAAAGTATTTAGCCTCAGGTCTTTAATAGATAAAGAATGAGAACACTTGATTTATTAAAGAGCAATTAAGATTAGATGACAGAAAATTGCATTAGAGGCTGGAAATATACCTGTGAACAGAGCAAAATCCCTTACCAGATACCTGATTTTCATGCTGTACATGCATATTCTGTTCAAGAATGGTACATGTCACAAAGCAATGAAATAGGACAGGTAGTATGAAAAGGTATGGGTTAGATATTCCTAGGTGAGGTGATCATAGCAGGTCAATTTGATGAGGTGAAATGGGAACAGAAACTTAATGGAAATTAGTGACCAAGTCTCAGGATACCAGAGGTGGCATTTGAATTTAAAATGTGGCTTTCCGGAAAGAGGGAAAAGTGTCAGTGTAATTGGAGTACAGGTGCAAGGAACAAAATGGTAAAGAATGTGGTCACTGAGAAAACAGAAGACCAAATGGAGAACTTTATGGACCACGATTCATTTAGCACATAGGCTGAGTTCTGGTGGACATTAAGAAGAATTGCTCAATATAATTGAGACCAAACATTGGAGGTGTAAAAGTGGAAGTATGGAAGGGACACTAATGATGAGTTAGTTGTTGCTAGTAGCTGTTTGGATATTAAATTAACCCCACAGTAGAACTTAGTGTATTGAATTATTGGGTTGAACAATAATGTGGTAAACATTGTTCTCATGCCTTTCAATGAAAAGTGATGCTTCTGAAATTAAAAGATGTATATTCTGCTCTTTTGGAAATCAGTATGGATGATTCTCAAAAAATTAGAAATCAAACTCCCATTTGACCCAGCAATACCACTCCTGGGAATATATCCCAGAGAGGCAAAAAAGTATAGTTGAAGTGACATCTGCACTTGTCTGTTCATTGCAGCACTCTTTACAATAGACAGAATCTGGAAAAAAAACCTGTGTGCCCAAGAACAGATGACTGGTCAAAGAAAGTTTGGTACATTTACACAATGGAGTACTATGTAGCTGTTAGAAAAGACGAAGTCATGAAATTTATATACAAGTGGTACTACATGGAAAGTATCATGTTAAGCAAAATTAGTCAGAAAGAGAGGGATAGACAGAGAGATTGGATTCGTCTGGGAAACATAAAGTAAGAAAATAGAAGACTGACACCCAAGAATGGCCGAGATTAATACCAGGAATTTTGCTCCATGGCTTGGAGGCCAGCACACATGCTAGGGGAAAAGGGAGCTGAGATAGAGTCGGGAGCACCAAATAAAGGGTGTTGGGAGGATCCTCCCAGGATGGGAGAAGCATGCTGAAAGTAGACTATAGACCAAACATGATTGCCATTCAATGCCTCTTTTGCAAACCACAACACCCAATGGGATAGAGAGAACAAAAGGGAATGCCCTGCTACAGAGGCAGAGTGGGATAGGGGGATGGGGACTGGGAGGGATACTGAGATCCGTGGTGGTGGGAAATGGGCACTGGTGGAGGGATGGGTATTTGATCATTGTATAATTGAAACCCATGCACAAAAAATTGTAAGTCTACAACTGTACCTCATGGTGTCTCACTAATAAATTTTTTTTAAAAAAGAAAAAGAAAGTTGTGTATTCAGGAGAAACAGGTTGGTCAGGGAAATAAAGGCATGCAAATGGATTTGAGGAGAGGTGCTATGTAGGCAATCAGAAGTTAGTTTTTGAAAACAATATCAAGTATTTTCGAACATCCCTCAGAAAAAAGATGGTGATGCTCTTCTTTTATTTTTGAAGGTTACATTTTGTAGTGATCATTTTTTCATTTGCTTTTAGATAATAATAATAATAATACATTGTTATTATTATTATTATTATCTAGTTCTTACTCTGGAGAACCTGTCAGGCTACCAAAAGTATCCTGCCAACACGGCAGAGTCTGGCAAACTGCCCGTGGCATCTTCAATATGCCAAAAACCAGTAACAAAGATGGGTCTCATTCTCCTAACCCTAAAAGAGCCTCGAATGTGGCACTTTTTAAAATCTCAGGGCTAGGACGATGAAGAAGTTACTGGGGCCTGCTCAAGGCAATCGTTGAACAGGATGACAGTGATACAGTGATTGCTTTTAGAACCTTGGGTTATATTCCAAGGTGTAGAATTACTGGGTCATATGAAAGCTCAATTTCTGGATTTTTGTAGCATATCAAAGATTGAATAGTAATCATTTTCAATAGAATTTTAATGCACCTTGTTCCACTGATATATGTCTGACTTGTTTTATATAATACTGATTTTATTCATTTTCCCTAATGTACTTTCTTCAACTCAGCAAATAGCGATAGCACAGCGGTAGGGCGTTCGGCCTTATAGGCGGCCAACATGGCCGACCGGAGTTCGATTCCTCTGCCCCTCTCGGAGAGCCCGGCAAGCTACCGAGAGTATCTCGCCCGCACGGCAGAGCCTGGCAAGCTACCCCTGACGTATTCGATAAGCCAGACACAGTAACAACAAAGTCTCCAATGGAGACGTTACTGGGCCCGCTTGAGTAAATCGATGATCATTGGGAGGGCCTTTACCTTTTTTACCTTTACCTTTTCATTTGTGTGTAATATTCTAAATCAGTTCTGTAGGTTCCACCTTATGAAAATAGTGATTCAAATAAAAAATAAAGCTTTCACCTGGTTAACTGTTGATTTGGAGCTAAAATTTTTCTCCCCAGAAGATTGTGAAAACAATAGTATACCATGCACTATGGAAAATATCAAATGATGACATGACCAGTGGTCTTTCTATAGCAACTGTAGAGAAAAGACTGTTCTCTAAGACCTATACATAGAACTTTGTTCTATTGTCCATCAAATAGAATAGTCATGGTTTTACTTTATTTTAAAAAATACTTAAATAACAGTAGCTTTTAAAATTCATTTATAATAATTACTCATAGTTTCTATTTGGAATTCTTCTAATCTCTCCGGTTTGTCCATCAAATAACAAATAGTATCATGTGATAAAGAATTTAATTTTTCACCTTTAAAAATGTTACTCAACCCTAACTTCCTATTATTCTATCATAATAGTCAGATAATCTCAGGATTATTCAAGGAAAATAGTCCTCCAATTTTTTGTTTGTTTTGGGCCACACTCACTTGTGTTCAGGAAATACTCCTAACCTTGTGCTCAGATATTACTCCTGGTGGGGTTTGAGGCATTATGTAAGATGTCAAAGATAAAATTCAGGTGGACTACATGTAAGGCAAGTGCCCTATTCACTGTACTCTTTCTTTGTCCATTCTTCTTTTTTTTAAGTTAATTTTTATTTATTTTTTTTCTCCTTTAATTCTTTTATTTTTCTTCTTTTTTTTAGATTTATAATTTTTTGTGCTTGAGTTTCGATTATACAATCATCAAATACCCATCCCTCCACCAGTGCCCCATTTTCCACCACCATGGATAATATACCTCCCACCCCCATCCCTCCCATCCCACCCTGCTTCTGTGGCAGGGCAATCCCTTGTGTTCTCTCTCTCCTTTTGGGTGTTGTGGTCTGCAAAAGAGGCTTTGAGTGTTTTGCCCATTCTTCTATATTAACATGACTGTTTTCTACCAATGACACTGTCTCAGTAGTGTCACCTTTGTGTTCCATTATATGTATTCAACCTACATTTACAAATTTATTTTCACTTGAATGCTAATTGTATCATTGAAAAATTACCTCTTTTGCCCTTTGTCTTTAATTGAGACTTACTTTGTCATGTCTCCTCTGATTCATTTGAAGAAAGCAAATAATTGCAATAACTGGAAATGACTTTAAGTAATGGTTATAAAACATAAGTAAATCTCCTATTTCCATTTTATTTTGTTCTGTTAGATTTCTGGACCTACCAAGTGGGCCTCAGAAGGCGTAGGGGCCTCTCCCAGTGATTCTAATCAACCAGAACAGCGGTTCAGTGCTAGGCCAGAGGAGGCAATGCTGCCATGCTTTATGGTGACAGAGATTATAGAGGTGCCTTAGAGCCCTGGGTGACTGCAGCAGAGTTTAGGATCATTACCCACCACGCTGAGTTGTAGGATAACATTGTTTTGTCCTTCCTTAGGTAGCTTACGTTTATTGGGTCACACCCATCCCAGGGCGCTGAACTCATATTATAAGTTAATATTGCCTTTCTCCTCTCCTTACGTCTTTAGAATAGTTTACCTTAAAGCAATGCCCTTTCTGTAGGGCACAGGGAGACAGTTAATATTTTGTATGCTTTGTAACATGGGAGTTGATTGACTCCAAATATTTATTCCTGTCATCTGCTTTCTTGACTTGGTTGCCTTTAGTTCCTAGCACCCCGAAAGCAGGATCCCGGTGAGGAACTAAATGGACCCAGGGCAAGCTGTGAGATACCCTGACATCAAAATGGGCCAGGCCAAAGTGCCACAATACTCAACTATAAGTTGAGGACATGATTATGGACAAATACTGTCATGATCCAAAAGTAACAACGAGGCTAGGACCCTGCTAGGACTAGGAAGACTAACCTGGCCACCTGGCCTGAGTATTGCAGAACATATAGTGAGACGTCCTCAGAAAGAACCAAACTGTAAATTTATATCTCTTACTGTGCTCATACAGAATGACATTGCTAGAAATATTAAAAGTAGATTTACTACAACTATTTAAGTAGATTACTAGCTGAGGAAAAAAACACACCCTTGTTGGGATCCTACCCTTGAGCAGATCTAGTAATCTGGAATAATCTCTTTAGATGAGATTTTATCCTTGAGTTAATCTCCCGGAGGAGTGGTCTTTCCTCTCATTGTTGATTTGTAAATATTCAACCCACCTTTATGTCACCGCCTTACATGATTGCTATATAAAGTAGGACTGTAAGCTTGGAGAGCAGAGTCAGAAGTGAGAGAGCTCGGGCTCCGGAGATCCAGAGTCAGAGCGAGAGGGGCTCGAGCTTGAGAGAGAGAACAGTCGTCCTGATCCAGGACACACACAGCGGCTCAAGGGCACCGAACACGGGCGGTGAGACTGAGCCATCCAGAGAGCCTGTGTACACACAACCTGCAGCGTGCTAAGATTTTACACTGAGTGATGCTGGGGGTCTCGAGGTTTGCACCCAGTGATGTTTAAGGGATCATGCGGTACATAGGATCTAACCAAATTGGTCATATGCAAAGAATATTCTTTAATCTCTGTTTCTCTATAGCCACTTCCTTTAATTTTAATAGGTCAAATAATGGGCAGATCTATTAGAACATCCAGTCATTGACTTTCTATTTTTTTTCAGGCTCAAGAAACTTGATTATTAAATATTCAGAAATTTTGTGACCTGGTTTTAAACTCTGCATCATTAACTCTTAAATTATGAAGACTAATAATAATAATAATAATTGAAATCAAAATTGCATAACTTATTTACTTCAGTTTATTGTGATTCATATTCTTGAGGGTATTTGCAAGTATTTTGTCTATATAAGTGAAAATATATGTACCACTCCACAACCATTCTATTATCGCATGTAATGGAATTATACTCATTCTCCAAGAATATCAGGGGTTCTTCCAAATCCATGCTCAGAAATTTTCTCAAGGGAGCTCATGACCATATTGGATGCTGGCATTCAAAACTGGATCAGCTACACACAAAACATGCACTTGATGAACTGTACTATCTCTCTAGCCCTCAAGATCCAAATTTAGATCTTTCCAAACACTCCATCCTGTGTAGGTTAATTGTTTCTCAAACAATTCTCACTTTTTTCTCTATTTTCCTAATCTCTATGAAAAATTATAATGCCACCTCTGCTGGATATTAATTCTCATATATCATATGTATGGGGAATTCAGTGTAAAATAATATTATACTCATAAAATTTATACTTATGTTAATGTAGTAGAAAGAATATTAATGTAAGAAAATGCTCAATTTGTAAGTTCTATGCAGAGCATTAGGAGATACGTGAGATATAACAATAGTATATCTAAGAAAGTTTTTCTTATGAAGGTTGACTATGAATGACAATGTAGTGTCTAGTTTTTTAGAGGACAAAGTATTCTATTCTGAGGGAACAGTAAGTGCTTCTAGTAATGGCAATGCCGTGCTAAGAAACGATTAGTATGTATAATGATGAGACACAGTTATATAAGAGAACATATAAACTACATTGGGTTGTATACTAGAGATGAGATGTTCAATATTACTCAAACCATAATTCAAAGCTATTAAAGGATTAGTAAGGCGTTTTCTCATCTGTCCATAAATTTTTTAAACAAATTTAGTGATTTAGGCAACCAAAAATCATTATATCTTATAGTTCTGTAGGCAAGAAGTTAAAGATTAATTTCAAGGTCTGAAACTCAAAAAATCATCAAGGTTTTATTTTTTCTACAGAGAATCCAACTCACTCAATTACTTTATTCTGGTAATAAAAATAAAGACTCGGATATTTCACTGGCTTCTGTAACTTACACAATCCTACATTTTTCAAAATGAGACTTCCTCTGTTCTCAAAGCCAGCAATTTTTGAGTCAATACCTTTGAACTCAGAATTTATTTATCCCTAATGCATCTCATTTATATTTTCGAGGTCAAAATGTTTCTACATCTTTTTCACTCGTGATTAATCTGAAGCCACATGATATGACCTCACTGTCTTTACTATTATTCATATAGATAAGCTACCATAATCACGGGTTCCAAAGAAACATGTTAGGAATAGTTTCATAAAGCTATTATTTGATTATCATTTGTGAAATCGTATCAGTGAGTGCAAGAAGAATAGGTTGTAAAGAATCAGATAAGACGTAACCTGACTTATCTATGGGCTGCCCTCTACCACATACTTTAGTTGTCTGATGGATGAAACTTGTTAGCTTGCTTCATGAGGCTGTTCATTAATCATCCAAAATAAAAGTAACAATCTTGGGTCACAACTCTAGTACAATGAATAGAGCACTTGCCTTGTACGTACCTCATCTGGGTTTCATACTGGTATCCCCTAAGGTTCCCTGAATACTGCCAGCGGTGATCATTGGGTGGAGATCCAGGAGAAAGACCTGACCACTTCCAGCTGTGTTCAAAAGCTGCCCCTGAATAAAAAAGAAAATAAAAGTTAAATTCTAAGTTTTTGTTCCATATCTATAATGTCCTGTTTTCAGTTTGAAAAATTTTAGTTGTTCATAACTCACATTCTGCACAAAGAATAGTTCTAAATTAGGTATAAACTTTATAAATAACTTTAATTATATATTGTTTTTAATATTAAGTATTTTCACTTTAACCAATTGTTTCATATTGTAATTTTAGTAAGTAAAAAATAAAGGCCCTCCCGTTGACCATCAATTTGCTCGAGCGGGCCCAGTAACGTCTCCATTGGAGACTTTGTTGTTACCGTGTTTGGCATATCGAATACTTCATGGGGGAGTTTGCCAAACTCTGCCGTGCGGGCAAGATACTCTCGGTAGCTTGCCCGGATCTCCAAGGGGGGAGGAGGAATCGAACTCGGGTTGTTCATGTTGGCTGCGTGCAAGGCAAACGCCCTACTGCTGTGCTATCACTCCAAGTCATATGTTTTAAGACTGTTTGAACTTGAGTAAAATTTGATGCTTATAGTTATTTTATTATTTCTTAATGGCCAATGCATGATATGCAAGCCTGGTCTTAATACTTTTATGCACCTAGTACATTTTCATTGTATGAGGCAGTACTATATTTATCCTTCAGGTATAGTACAACACAAGCATAATCTTTTCAATTTATTTAGCCAAAGTCATCTGGCTAATAACTGAAGACTTAAAAATGTGAATAGAATGAGGAGATGGTAGAAGGATTAAGGCAAATGGCTTTACATACAGTTCTCACAGAGCACTGCCCAGTGAGCCCCTGGCAGTGGCTGAAGTTTGAGGCATGTGAACAGCGCTTTCACTGAACTAGTAGCCTGGTTAGCAAAAAATTATGAGCAGTCCTTGGAACACACCTGAGCACAACCCAAGAATATTTTCTCTCAGAAAAAGTATGAAAGATTCCTAACTTGAATTTGATAGTCAGTGGAATAAGAGCTACATCTCAACAGAACCCTTGCTCAAACTGGCACACTAATCTTCAAGAATGCCCATAAATTTATCAAATATTAAGGAAGACCATGGTATGGTAAGTTAAGCTTCAACAAATTATTGCATGGCCTAAAATAGCATGTGAAACTCACTTAGAAATGTTTTAAAAAATTAAAATACTATATTTAAAGTACTATTTCTTCTTCAGTAGCATTGTAGCACTGTCCTCCTGTTTTTCATCGATTTTCTCAAGCGGGCACCAGTAACGTCTACCTTGTGAGACATTTTACTGTTTTTGGCATATCAAATATGTCAAGGGGAAGAATAATTTACTATCTTTATTAAATATTATTTTCTCATTTTTGCTTTTTTACACTGCTTATAATGATAAATTGATTTACATATAAACTAACTTGCTATCAATATCCTGATTTTTTAAAAAATTTACAGATTGCTTGTAAGAATCTAAAAGCTTTTCAGACGCAGACACTGAGTCGTTACATCATCAATGTCACTCTAGCAGCTAAAATGTGTCACCAAGCACTCTGCCAAGATCAAGGACTCTGTACCCGGAAAAACTGGAATTCGAATGACTATCTTCACCTGAACCCAAGGAACTTTTTTATTGAGTTTGCGTATTGTAACAAGTTCACAATATATGGGGAGCCCTCATTTGAAGACCTAAAGCAGTTTTCTGACAAATTTGATTGCACCTGTTTTACCAATGTCACTTGTAAGAAGAATAACATACAAAATGTTAAAAACATAAGGGTATGCGTTAATGAGGAAATTTGCATATCGGCCTTTGTAAGCCCAGAACACAACCTAATTCCTACCGGACGAACCCGAAAAACCACAAAAACAACCATCACAAAACCTTACACAGTCTTCTAGTCAAGTAAACGACCTCACAGACTCCTCTCTATCACCCTGACTCTAGTTTTCCTGAAATTCTATCAAACGTACCCATTGATGTCATAAGAGCCATCCTCAACAGCAACCAAGGGAAAGCTATCAAAGTATATGCACACTCTCTCTATTAATATGCTTTACATTATAATATTTAATATTTAGCTTATTCACATTAAATTGTAGTAGTCCCAGTTAAATTTATATCAATTTGATATTGAAATGTGAATAAAGCATGCCCCTAATAACAGTTTACGTTTTTTGGAGGGGTGGATTGGGTCATATATGACGATGCTCCATGGTCACCCCGTCTCTGTGCTCAGGGATTAGAACTAATGTTGTTTGGAAAACCCTATGGGAAGCCAGAGATGGAACCAAGTTTCACCAAATATAAGCGCTATCTACTTTGCTATCATTCTGGCTTTTTTTTTTATCAAAACGTTTTTCATAAGTAAATTGTCCTTGAATTATTATTGACTAATTTTTGAAAACTGGATTAGAATGTTTAATGTTCAAAATAAGGGAATGGGGCACTTACCATGCTGACCCCACTTAGAGCTCTAACACAGCAAATTGCTCCTCCAGCACTGTCAGGAGATTTACATGAAATAACAGCCAAGAATAAGCTTTGAGCATTCCGTTTGTGACCCTAAAACAGAACAAAACAAATAAAATTCATTGTACAATCTGATTCTAAATAAATGAAAATTGATACTGAATTTTGATTTAATTCACATTGGAGTTTTAATCTGCGTATTAACTTGCCAAATAAATTGAGTTAGAGGGTTTTCTGTCTTATATTTTCTATTTGTTATGCAAAGGTTGGGAATATTTTCTATATTGTGTACAGCATAACTAGTCTGTTTTATTCTTCATTCGATCAAAGACTAATTAAAAGACCTGTAACAATATGTGGTCAAGATTGCTTCTTAGAGAATTAAAGATTTTGAAAATACAAATTTACTGCAAATAACTAAGTGTACAAGCACTTTGAATTATAGTAAAATGTTGCAAATTGTTGACATTAAAAATGATTTATAAAATGTTCTGTTCTAATAATGCAAACTTTTTCTATGTATCATACTACTTTTATTAGTTATATCATCCTTATGATTACACTTGTATTGAATAAAATAATTTTCTATTCACTAAGTTATTCAGTATTTTACTATTGACTTTTACTCAGTGCAGTTTGTGTTCAGAATTCACAGATATGTATATGTAATACTCATTTTTTGAGTCTTTTTTGTCAAATGTGAAAATCCTGTGTAGCTAAATTTCCTATTTTCTCCAAGCATCAATTCATATTGATGAATTGATAATCCATAAAAGAGCTGGCAGAGGAACCCAGGTGTGTGGGACCCGGGGCTGAGATCTCCAAGCCTGCATGGTTTGGTACTGGACTTGCCAATAACTAGACAGTTACACCCACCAACTGCCGTGTTACTCCAACAATGGCCAGGATCCAGAGATTATCACACTCAGCTCCTGGGAGAGAACAAGGCAGAGTCTCCTACCCTGTGCCTGACTGTCTCCACCAGGGCCCAACAGCTGAAGACCACCGAGGCCCAGCCAAGGCCATGCTGGGACCACTCTCCACACACTTGGATGAGCCTCACGCATAAAAGAACTGGCAGAGGAACCCAGGTGTGTGGGACCCGGGGCTGAGATCTCCAAGCCTGCACGGTTTGGGATTGGACCTGCCAGTAACTAGACAGTTACACCCACCAACTGCCATGTAACTCCACCAACGGCCATGATCGAAAGATTATCATACTCAGCTCCCAGAAGCGCGCAGCCGCATTCGCGGCCGCGTGACATCTTATCATCTCATTCCTACTTTGGCCAAACTGGCAGGCTTACCAAATGTAACCTGCCCACACGGCAGAGTCTGGCAAACTCCCCGTGGTATACCCAATATGCCAAATACCAGTAACTATGATGGTTATCATTCTCCTAACCCTGAAAAAGCCTTGAATATGCCACTTTAAAAAAAAATCTCAGGGTAGGACGAAGAAGACGTTACTGGCACCTGCTCAAGGCAATCGATGAACAACACGGTGGTCGTGATGATCGTGATCAATTCATATTCTTCTAAAAACTATTGAGGATTTATTTTCTGCTAAGCTAGTGTCGTCAAAGATCACTCAAGATGAAGTAGCGTGTTTCTTTGTGTAGTGTGTTGTATTTTCTTAGATGACTTATAAATTATAAAATGATAATAGTATGTGAAAAATACTATGATAGACGCTCAGCGTATTTAACATGCAATTAAGAATTTGTGGTGTCAGAACAATTTCATAGGGGTCCTCAAAGAAACAGTATCTAATTCCTTCAGTGTTGAATAATAGTATGGAGACACAAATGGAACCTTTTGAAGGATAACTTTTTGAATAAATAATAGATAATAACCAAATGATGGAATCCTTTATGAATCTCTACAACAAGGAGTAGAATCTTCCCATCCTCATGAAAGCAGACATTTTATTGACACTTCCATGAAAAACACCTATTTGCTTTCTCAGAATGCTGCCTCAAAAAATAGTGATAAGAATCTAAAAATGGCCAATAACCTATGAACATTATAAAGGTTACATAATGTGATATTTAAGGGGAAAGTATTCCTGAAGTTTCCTTTTTTGGTGATAATAGTGGTGTTGACGGTAGTGAAAGTGATAAGAAGGTAATAAAAGTGGGCTCTTTTTGTACATGGGGATTCATTATAATTTTTGTAATTTATATAAAGATTTAATGTTTTGTTAAAATGCTTTGTTAAGGGGCAATAGTGGAGTTCAGTGAGTAGGACGATTGCCTCACATGGAGCCTGCCTGAGTTCGATCCATGTCATCCTGAGCACCACCAGGAGTAATTCCTGAAGTGCATAGTCAGGAGTAGTCCCTACCCAGCTATGAAAAAAAGAGTGAAAAAATTTTTTGTTAAAATTTCCACTGATATCTACAGCTCGAGCAAATCTACACTTTTAAAGCTATAAATTAAAAGGTGAACATAGTTTCACTACCTTGAATATCATAAGTATTTCAGGCTCATTAACTATTTAGATTTTAGTTATACAATGCCTTTCTTTTTAGGAGCTAATACTGATTTCCCTTGGCTGGTTTTACAATCTAAGTATTAATTATTTATTTCTTTAGCCTTTTGAAACATCTTTACAGTTTTCAAGATTTAAAAAATACATCGATGGCTAAAGTAATACAACAGCATACGACATTACCGTGAGCATTGAGACCCTGGTTTGTTCCCCCAAATCCTATATATCCTCAAGTACCATCAAGAGCACCACCTGTGCAGAGTCAGGCATAAGTTCTGGGCACCTCTGGGTGATCCCCAACACCTCCCCCCCCATAAAAAAAACAGGAAAGGGAGGAAAACAAGAGTCTATTTACAATGTTCCATTAGATGTCCTGAACACATCATGATGATCTAAACTTAATTCAGTTAAAAACATCTTTGTTATTGACTACTCAAATTCAACAACTAAATATATTTTTAAATGAAGTGGATAGTTTACCCATAATTTAAAATATATATTATATTTAATATGAAGAATCATCAGTTAAGATTCATTTGATTTATTCATATTATAATATTATAAGTCATATTTTTCAATGTTACTTAAATTCAAAGAAAATTGTGATAATTTTTATATTTTGTTATTATTTCTTAAAGGCTAAAGAATGATGTGCAGGTTCTCTGCTAAGTAACTTTTATGTATATAGTACATTTTCATCTTCATCTAGGCTAGATTTATCCCCATGTGCTAGATTCATCCCCATTTTACATATGATGTAGTGAAGGCAGAGTGAGGTTAATAAATTTACCCAAAATTTGTCTGTCTGCACTGTCTGTCCTCCCGTTTTTTATTGATTTGCTCTAGCAGGTCCAGTAACATCTCCGTTGTGAGACTTGTTGATACTGTGCTTGGCATATCGAATATGTCACAGGTTTTGCTGTGTGCCAGGCTTTGCTGTGTGGCGAGATACTCTTGGTAGCTTGCCAAGCTCTCCAAAATCATCTGGCTAAAAATGAAAGGAAAAGAGGAGATAGTAGAAAGATTAAGATACATGTTCTACATGATTATCATGGAAATGTATATCAAAATGATGGTAAGCTATAACTTTACACCACAAAGAATGATCTATATCAAAATTGCCAGAAACATTAAGTGCTGATGAGGATGTGGTAAAAAGAATTCTCATTAACTGTTCATTAGAATGTTGAATTATAGACTCATTTAACATTTTTAATTTTTATTTTTTTATTAAAAATTTTTTAATAGTGAGACATCATGAGGTACAAAGCTTTTGAACCCCAAAGGTTCTGGGGTCTCCTCATCTTTCTTCTTTTTTTTTTTTGCTTTTTGGTTCACATCTGGTGATTCAGAGGGGTTTCTCCTGGCTCTGCACTCAGGAGTTACTCTTGGCGGTGCTCAGGGGACCATATGGGATGCTGGGAGTCGAACCCGGGCCAGCCGCGTACAAGGAAAACACCCTACCCGCTGTGCTCTCCAGCCCCCTAACTTTTTAAAAAAATGATTGGGAAAGTTCACAAAATTTTTGGAAAAAAATTCCATAAGATCCAGTATTTCCCTGCATAGTATCTACTCTTAGAACACAAAGACATTAAACATTTACACACTGGAATACTATGTAGCTGTTAGAAAAGATGAAGTCATGAAATTTACATACAAGTGGTACTACATGGAAAGTATCATGTTAAGGGAAATGACTCAGAAAGAAAGGGATAGACAGAAAGATTAGATTCGTCTGGGAAACATAAAGTAACAAAATAGGAGACTAACACCCAAGAATGGCCAAGATAAGTACCAGGAATTTTACTCCATGGCTTGGAGGCCAACCACACATGCTAGGGGAAAAGGGAGCTCAGATAGAGAAGGGAACACCAAATAAAGGGCGTTGGGAGGATTCTCCCACGATGGGAGAAGCATGCTGAAAGTAGACTGTAGA